TGATAATTTATTTAAAACCATAATTATTTGCATATTTTTGAAACATCGATGCTAATAATTAGTCATATAAAATATTTTGATTGCATATTATTTTTCCAGTGGTTCAATTTAGTTTGCTAAAGAATAACATTTACTTTCGATTAATGGTTTAGACTGATTCATTAAATAAAATATACTCTCTAAGTATGTTTGGAAGTAGGGATAACTTGAACTATGTCAAAATAAATGACTAAAATTTGTATTTGGTAATTAGAATAATAGTAGTTTAAAATTAACAATTAATTAAATAAAAAATACTGAGAAAAAATATGGTAATGATACCTAAGCAAAAATGATCTCATACTTCTCATTTAATATATAGAAATCTTTGGCGTCAGCAAACCCACTATCTTAATGTAATGTTTTAATATATACTGTACATAGTTTTTGACTAATAGTTTTAACAAGTTTTGAAAAAGTTTGATAGAAGTTTTTGCATATAGACAATGTCAAAAGGAGATAATAAAATGTGAAAAAATGAATGGAGACGCGATTCAGTGAGTCGATGAAATTGTGCTTTTTGGAGTTTTTTTATTTTTATGCTTTTTAAAGTTGAAAGATGCCGAGGTTTATACCCTTTCTATTTCAAGAATATTCCAATGGTGACCATTTTCTTACTTTTATTTATTTATTATTGTGAATATTTAAAGAAGTAACGAAAAAAGAAGTAAATGTCAAGCTACTAGTATGATCATGAAGACCCAATGTCCCATGTGTTTCTGTCATGAGAAGCTGAGGTCACCTGGATTTGATATTTTTTAGTAATTAGGGGGGATTTATACAAAGATATATTTTTTTATTAGATATAATCAGATCCACAATATTAAAGATCGTTTCGAATTTTTGACTAAAACAGGAAAAAAAAGATAGTTTCAAATTTATAAAATTCTCTAAAAAAAAATATTAAAAGTATTTTGTTTAATGTTGAGTAAATTATGAATATTAATTTGAGAAATTTTAAAAAATACCACTTTTCAAGTGCCACTTTATAAAAATGCCACTTTTTCAAAATTATTTTTTCTTTAAATTATTTATATTTGGATTAATTATGTTCAATTAGGATTTAGTTATGAGGATTTAGGGAATTTTAGGGGTCAAAACATTTTGTAGGGTTTAAAATTTTAAGATATAGACTTTATAAATCTATAATTAGTGGTATTTTTGTAAATAGACACCCATAAATGGTATTATTTCAAATATGCACACAAAAAATAGCATTTTTGTAATTGTCTCTATTAATTTTCTTAAGAACATAGTTTTATAGATGTATATATTTGATTTAGATAAAGTTTTTTATATTAAAAGGCTCAAAAATTAGATTTTTTGCTTTTGTAATTAAAGGTTTCAATTAATTTATTTATTTTTTACAACATAAAATGTGAATGCAATCGTCGAACTCACCAAAACTTATAATAGATATGTAAATATAATTTCATTTGTAATAACCAAATTGAAGTGGTTAATTAATTCATGATATAATATTTTGTTTTTAGTCAATATACATAAGTTCTAAGGTTATTCAAACATTAGATATTCAATATGATATTACGTTTTGGACCATTTGGAAGAGACAAAAAAAAAGGAAAAAAAATTCGGTGTGGATATCCAAAAAAATATCCTCATATCCCGGTTATAAAATAATTTGTAGGTAAATAATAATAATAAGATTTGTAATATTTATGAACCGTCACTTGCCATGTGTTATAATCACACCCACCGATTTGCAGAAGAAGAAAAAATGACGAGAAATTAGAAAAGGAATAAAACCAAAGAGATATCCTCCCGAAAGAAAGACAATGATAAGAGAAAAAAGGATATTCGAAAGAGAAACCTTAAGAATATTCTCTTTATCTCTCCCATTATATCTCACTCTTCTTCCTTTCCACTTTCCTTCATTTTCCCGGG